TGGATGAATGGAAAATGAATTAAAGAAAAGACTAAATAAATGACCTACTGACTGAGTGAATATCATAAAATGATTGATAGTCTTTAAAACAGCTCCAAAGCTAATACACTACGCAAGGTTATCAATATGACCTTCCACCCATACCTATAGACACTACCGTGWGTTCCAAACAATACTTCATCACCATCTTGTAGTTTAGTTGGCTGTGTGATCTTCRTGCCATTTACTGATGATCCATACTTTGAACTGTCTGTTAACGTAAGCTCTGGAACCTTGCTTATATCACCCTGTATTCAAATAATTGCATTAGGAGCCGGAGAGGCCTTTTTTTTTGTACGGGATCTCCCGCTGAAATAAACACTAGGTTGTGGTTTTGGGGTGTTATAAGCCGCAGGGATTAACAACCACAGGAACCCACAGCAATTCTTATACTGACAGCGAACGTATAACAGACTCAAAAGTCAAATATTAACGGATCGTAATATTAGCTAAATATGAATATGTTTGAGCCAAATAAGGCAAGCACCCTAAGGTTTAGGCGCGGAATACAAATCATTTAACGAGGGTAAATGGCGCCAACATACAACGASGACTCTCTTTCTAGTTTCTTGGCCATTTTACCAGATAATAGTATGAATATGAGCTACTGGCACGCATTAGACAGTACACTCAATTTGGATGAAAAGAAAGGCTCTCACTAAAGATTGGTATGTTATAGATACGTAAACACACTCTGACCGCTTCTATTTGACCATAAAATTGCGGCCTCAATCGCAAAATTGTCTTGCGCTAACAGTATTGTTACACAATGTTTACTGCAAAGAGTTAAAGATTTATTTTGACCTTCTACGCTGACCTTTACAAAGTAGGTTAATTTAATCCTCTTATCCTCGCAACACCTCTGCTATACTCTCTGTCCACATGAACTGACGTTTATAGTAAGCACAGCTGTGCGTACAAAAAAAAGCCATCTCCGGCTCGTAATGTTCAAGGATTACATAATAGATTCTTTTTAATCATCTAGAGCAGGTTGCAGTGGCGGATCCAGGACTTTTTTTTTTTTTATTTTTGTTTATGCTTGAGGGGGGTTCCTAGGAACCCATGGAACCTCCCCTGGATCCGCC